TCGCCTGAGACATCCTCGAAACTCTGACCTCGGAGATGCCGCGCGAGAGGTGGTCCATCCCGTTTCGCTTGAGACATCCTCGAACTTCTGAGCTCTGAGATGCACTGCGCGAGGTGGTCTGGCCCGTCTCGCCTGAGACATCCTCGCAACCCTGAGCTCTGAGATGCCGTGCGCAAGGTGGTCCGGCTTGTTTCGCACAAAACATTATTGCAACTCTGAGCTCCCAGATGCCGCGCAAGAGGTGGTCCAGCCTGGGGGCCCAGGAGACCACATGTTACACATCCTCCCTGGGACCCTGGGATCCCGCCTGAGACATCCTCGAACTTCTGAGCTCTGAGATGCCCTGCGGGAGGTGGTCCGGCCCGTCTCGCCTGAGACATCCTCGCAACTCTGAGCTCTGAGATGCCGTGCGCAAGGCGGTCCGGCCTGTTTCGCACAAGACATTCTCGCAACTCTGAGCTCCCAGATGCCGCGCAAGAGGTGGTCCAGCCTGGGGGCCCAGAAGACCGCATGTTACATATCCCCCCTGGGACCCTGGGAGCCCCGGGAGGCCCCAGAGAGCTCCAGGAGGCCGCAGGGCGCCCAGGACAGGCCCCAGGGGTCCGCAGGAGATTCCCAGGAGGCTCCCAGGAGGCCCCAGGAGGCCCCCTATCAGAACGTGTCAAGTTAGTACACATCCGGTGTCGATTCGTTGATTTTTCCAGAGGCCCAAGCGGCCACAGGTTAGATATCCCCCCTGGGAGCTCCAAGAGGCTTCAGGAAACCCCAGGTGGAGTTCAGGAGGCCACAGGAGGCCCAGGAGGAGGCCCCAGGAGGTCCCCAGTAGGCGCCAGGATGCACCAGGAGGCCCCCGCAACTCGGAGTTCTGAGACGCCGCGCTCGAGGTGGTCCGGCCCGTTTCGCCTGAGACTTCCTCGCACCACGTTTCGCCCGAGACACTGGCCCGTCTCGCCTGAGACATTCTTGCGACTCTGAGCTCTGAGATGCCGTGCGCAAGTTGGTCCGGCCCATCTCGCCTGAGACATCCTCGCAACTCTGAGCTCTGAGATGCCGTGCGCAAGGCGGTCCGGCCTGTTTCGCACAAGACATTCTCGCAACTCTGAGCTCCCAGATGCCGCGCAAGAGGTGGTCCAGCCTGGGGGCCCAGAAGACCACATGTTACATATCCCCCCTGGGACCCTGGGAGCCCCAGGAGGCCCCAGAGAGCTTCAGGAAGCCGCAGGACGCCCAGGACAGGCCCCAGGGGTCCGCAGGAGGCTCCCAGGAGGTCCCAGGAGGCCCCCTTATCAGAACGTGTCAAATTAATACAAACGGCCACTATCCCCCCCTGGGAGCCCCAAGAGGCTTCAGGAAGCCCCAGGTGGGGTCCAGGAGGCCACAGGAGGCCCAGGAGGAAGCCCCAGGAGGTCACCAGGAGGCCCCAGGAGGCCCCAGGAGGCCCCCGCAACTCGGAGCTCTGAGACGCCGCGCTCGAGGTGGTCCGGCCCGTTTCGCCTGAGACTTCCTCGCAGCACGTTTCGCCGGAGACATCGTCGCAACTCTGGGGTCCGAAATGCCTCGCGCGAGGTGGTCCAGCCCGTCACGTTGGAGACATCCTCGCAACTCTGGGCTCCGAGATGCCCTGCGCGAGGTGATCCAGCCCATCTCGCCTGAGACATCCACGCAACTTTGAGCTCTGAGATGCCGTGCGCAAGGCGGTCCGGCCTGTTTCGCACAAGACATTCTCGCAACTCTGAGCTCCCAGACGCTGCGCAAGGGGTGGTCCAGCCTGGGGGCCCAGAAGACCACATGTTACATATCCCCCCTGGGACCCTGGGAGCCCCAGGAGGCCGCAGAGAGCTCCAGGAGGCCGCAGGACGCCCAGGACAGGCCCCAGGGGTCCGCAGGAGATTCCCAGGAGGCTCCCAGGAGGCCCCAGGAGGCCCCCTATCAGAACGTGTCCAGTCAATACACATCCGGTGTCGATTCGTTGATTTTTCCTGCTCTTGTGGCCCCCTGCCCATTTTGGGGGGGCCCCGACGGCCACATGTTAGATATCCCCCCCTGGGAGCCCCAAGAGGCTTCAGGAAGCCCCAGGTGGGGTCCAGGAGGCCACAGGAGGCCCAGGAGGAAGCCCAGGAGGTCACCAGGAGGGAGGCCCCAGGAGGCCCCCGCAACTCGGAGCTCTGAGACGCCGCGCTCGAGGTGGTCCGGCCCGTTTCGCCTGAGACTTCCTCGCAGCACGTTTCGCCCGAGACATCGTCGCAACTCTGGGGTCCGAAATGCCGCGCGCGAGGTGGTCCAGCCCGTCACGTTGGAGACATCCTCGCAACTCTGGGCTCCGAGATGCCCTGCGCGAGGTGGTCCGGCCCATCTCGCCTGAGACATCCTCGCAACTTGAGCTCTGAGATGCCGTGCGCAAGGTGGTCCGGCCCGTTTCGCACAAGACATTCTCGCAACTCTGAGCTCTCAGATGCCGCGCAAGAGGTGGTCCAGCCTGGGGGCCCAGAAGACCACATGTTACATATCCCCCCTGGGGACCCGGGAGCCCCAGGAGGCCCAAGAGAGCTCCAGGAGGCCGCAGGACGCCCAGGACAGGCCCCAGGGGTCCGCAGGAGATTCCCAGGAGGCTCCCAGGAGGCCCCAGGAGGCCCCCTATCAGAACGTGTCAAGTTAATACACATCCGGTGTCGATTCGTTGATTTTTCCTGCTCTTGTGCCCCCCCCATTTTGGGGGGGCCCGACGGCCACATGTTAGATATCCCCCCCTGGGAGCCCCAAGAGGCTTCAGGAAGCCCCAGGTGGGGTCCAGGAGGCCACAGGAGGCCCAGGAGGAAGCCCCAGGAGGTCACCAGGAGGTCCCAGGAGGCCCCAGGAGGCCCCCGCAACTCGGAGCTCTGAGACGCCGCGCTCGAGGTGGTCCGGCCCGTTTCGCCTGAGACTTCCTCGCAGCACGTTTCGCCCGAGACATCGTCGCAACTCTGGGGTCCGAAATGCCGCGCGCGAGGTGGTCCAGCCCGTTGCGCTGGAGACATCCTCGCAACTCTGGGCTCCGAGATGCCGTTCGGAATGAAGAGAAGGTGGAGGAGGGGGAGAAGGAGGAGGATGAGGAGGAGGAGGAGGAGGAACAGGAGCAGGAGCAGGAGGAGGAGGAGGAGGAGGAGGAGGAGGAGGAGGAGGAGGAGGCATGTTTTAACATGCCAGGCCAGCCCGCACTGGACGGGCACGCAATCGACCTTGGAAACCGCAGTGGGTCTAAACACCCTGTTTGGGGATGCTGCACTCTGGCTATAATTTGTTTATAAGGAATGGTGAGGGTGTATGGCGGCGACAGCACGTTTGTATTGTAAATCGCAATAAATTCTGCACGCATGATCAGGACATCGTTTTTTTTTGCAAGGGATAGTGCCATGCGACCCGTATGTAGCCAGGGGCCGGGCCGGTTTTTAGATATGTAGATTTTAACTTTTATAAGATTCGAGATTCATCTACCTCCCTCGCCCCCCCCCAGTCATAGGGGGAAAGTTCCATGCTGGCGGCCATGTTCTTTGGGCAACAACTATCGGTCCAGCACCCCCCTTCGCCGCCTCTTCTGAGGAAGGGGGGGAGGTCTTGCAGGCGGCTCTCGTGTTAGAATATCCGACACACAACAGCCGCTGTTTTGGCGGGTGGCTGAGTTTTTAATTGGAAGCGCCTGGGAGCGCCTGGGAGCGCCTGGCAGCGCCTGGGAACCCCTGGGAGCGCCTGGGAGCGCCTGGAACCGCCTGGGGGCGCCTGAGGGAGCCTGGGGGCGACTGGAAGCGACTGGGAGCGCCTGGGAGCGCCTGAGAGCGCTTGGGAGCGCCTGGTAGCGCCTGGGGGCGCCGGGGAGCGCTTGGGAGCGCCGGGGGCGCATGGGGGCGCTGGGAGCGCCTGGAAGCGCCTGGAAGCGCCTGGTAGCGCCTGGGGGCGCCGGGGAGCGCTTGGGAGCGCTTGGGAGCGCCGGGGAGCGCCTGGGAGCGCCTGGGAGCGCCTGGGGGCGTCTGAGAGCGCGTCTGGGGGCGCGTGTGAGCGCCTGGGAGCGCCTGGGAGCGCTTGGGAGCGCTTGGGAGCGCCTGGGAGCGCATGGGGGCGCCTGGGGGCGCCTGGGAGCAGGCGCCGCCCGGGGCTCCGCGAAGTGACGCCGGAGTGTTAGTCCACGGGGGGGGGGGGGGCAGATCGCAAAGCCGCCCGGGGCCCCGCGAGACCACTCTGGAGTGTATCCGCGGGGGAGTGGCGGATCGAGGCGCCGCCCAGGGGAGGCCTCCTGGGGCACCTCCGGGCGGCCTTTGAGAGGCGCTCCAGGAGGCCTCTGAGAGGCGCCGCCTGGGCACCGCGAGTTTACGCGGGAGTGAATCGACCGCGGGGGAGGGGTGGATCGGGGCGCCGCCGAGGCCCCGTGAAGTAACTCCAAATCTCCAAATCCGCGGGGGGGGGGATGGATCAGAGGCCGCCGCCTGGGGCGCCTCCTCCTGGGGCGCCTCTCGGAGGCCGCCTGGAGGCGCCCCAGGCGGCCTCTGATCCACTTCTCCCTTGTGGATTGACTCCAGAGTTCACTCGCGGGGCCCAGGGCTGCATCCCAGGGCCTCTGATCCACCACGCCTTTGTGGAATAACTCCAGAGTTAACTCACGGGGCCCAGGGTGGTAGGATCCACTCATCTCTCGTGGACTGACTCTGGAGTGAATTCAGGAGGAGGCTGGCTTCTGCATCCGCTTTCCCGTGGATTGACTCCGGAGCTTGTCCGCGGGGAAGCCGGCAGCAGGATCCACTTTTGGAGCGAATTAACCCCACAGTTAATCTTTAACCAGTTCCTGGTTTCATCCACTTCGGAGGAGGAGGAGAAGGAGGGGGAGGAGGAGGAGGAGGAGGAGGAGGAGGAGGAGGAGGAGGAGGAGGAGGAGGAGGAGGAGGGGGAGCTGACGATCGCGAGGGGGGTGGGAGGAAGAGGACAGCGGAGGGATGCAGGGAGGGAAGGGGAGGGCGAGGAGGCGGAGTCCGCAGCCGCGGGTTCGAGCGGCTCTTCCGTGCGCCGCCCTCCGTCCGCATGGCCCGATGCTGTGCCATGCGGCCTTCGCCGCCGCGGGTCCTTTCGCCCCCGTGCTCGCTCCCGCGTCCAGCGGCGGGGCCTCTGGGCGTTTCTCGGCGCTTCTCGGCGCTTCTCGGCGATTTTCGGCGATTTTCGGACGTTTCTCGGCGATTTTTTCGGACGTTTCGTCGGCCCTCGGCGTTTTTTTTTCAGTCCTCGGCGTGGTCTCCAGCAACTTCGCCTCGCCCAGAGGCCTCCGGGGGCGCCCGCGCCGCCCGGAGAGCCGGGCGACGAGGATCGCTGGGGGGATGGGCCCATGGGGCGAGTGGCGAGTGCATCCGTCACTTCCAACCGCTCATTGATCGCGACGGCATGTGCCCGATATGGGGGAGGAGGAGGAGGAGGAGGAGGAGGAGGAGGAGGAGGAGGAGGAGGAGGAGGAGGAGGAGGAGGAGGGGGAGGAGGAGGAGGAGGAGGAGGAGGGGGAGGAGGAGGAGGAGGAGGAGGAGGAGGAGGAGGAGGAGGAGGAGGAGGAGGAGGAGGAGTCCACCCTGACCAGAAACGCGCAGATTTCGCTATTGGGCCCATCGCCGACCTATCGGCGTTGCATCGCCGATCCCAGCTCCGCTTTTCTCTGTATAGTGTTGTCCCTCCGCCCCCTCAGGGGAGGCCGCGGGCCCCCTCGCCAGCACGCGTCAAGGTCCACTTCGATCCAATCGAGCCGACTGCGATTCGGTTCTGGCACCCTGGCGATCTGGTGCGGGCCCGGTGCTCGCGCGGCGCCGTTGTGCATCCTGGCGCAGCCGATCCGACGAGCGCTCCGATCCCGATCCGATTCCCCGATTCAATGCCGACTGATCTCGCGCCCCCGTGGAAGGCGGAAAGCGCAGGGATCTGGAGCAACGGCTGGACGCGCGGCCGCGAGTACTGCATCGCAAGATGCGGTTCTCGATCGATTGGTCGACTGTTGTTTGTTTCCACGGGGATGTTTCGAGCGGCCTGCTCTGGCTTGGTCTGCCCCCTCGCGGCGTCGGATCTACTTTCTCAAGCCCAAGGCTAGATCGATATCCTACATGAAAAGATGTCTTCGCAAAGGCGAAACGAACGAGACAAGAAATGCGTCGAGACACATTATCCCGCTGCACAGCGCGGAGGCGATTCTCATACTCTTTCTTCTTTCCATAGGTGTCCAAGGTTTGAATCTGCTTGACCGCCCGCCTGCAGAGGGCGATGCCGGCTGGCGCGAGACCACCGCCGCGGGCACGACGGGTAAGGACGGGAAGCGCGTGGCCATAGTTGTTGCAGGATCTAGCTGCCTTCGGCAACTCCCGCCGCCTTGTCAGCATCACATCGAGGCGATTCAGGACCACGGAGGAGGAGAAGGAGGAGGGGGAGGGGGAGGAGGAGGGGGAGGAGGAGGAGGGGGGGGGAGGAGGAGGAGGGGGAGGAGGAGAGGAGGAGGAGGAGGAGGAGGAGAGAAGAAGAGGAGGAGGAGGAGGAGCAGGAGGAGGAGGAGGAGGAGGAGGAGGAGGAGGGAGGAGGAGGAGGAGGAGGAGAAGGAGGAGGAGGAGGAGGAGGAGGAGGAGGAGGAGGAGGAAGGTGAGGAGGAGCAGGGGGGGGGGAGGAGGAGGGGGAGGAGGAGGAGGCGCTGTTCTTGGGGTCGCCATTTTCATGCCGTAGTTCTACGGGGCTTCCGCGTGCTCTCTGAACGAGCTTGGGCGGTGTCGTTATCGGGCGAAATGGGTCTGCCGAGGTCTGCTGGAGAGCTTCGATAGCACTCGTCTGGTCGGGACTCGGGGCTTTCCTGAAGCTGTCTTGCGGCGGTCTTGGACCGTCTTGTAGCGTTCCTGGGGCTTTCTTGGCTTGGTGGCCTCTCGGGCTGTCTTGGGGCGCTCTGAAGCCTTGCTGGAGTAAGTTCCAGCTGAAAATCTTGAGAGACGAGCAACATTGAAGCACGCTGTATGTTTGACTTTTTGTTGCATCCCAGGGCGCTACTTATGGGCTCTTTGGGGTCTCTTCGTCGCTTTTTGTGTCCTCGTGAGGCCTCGTTGGGCCACCAGGGGGTCTCTGCGGGGTCGTTTTTGGGCTGTCTTACGTAGGCCGGTTTCGCCAGTCTTGCAGCTGTGCTGTGTCGTCATTGGCAGACTTTGGCACTTCGAACCCTAAAGCCCTAGAGTCTTTCTAGGGCCATCCTGGGCCGAACGGCTTGCGATTCAAGACTCTGGAAGCCGTCTTGGGCCGTCCAGGGGCCGGTTGAGGGATCCGGGGGCCGTCTTGGGGCATTCCTGGGCCCTCTTGAACCCGTCTCGGGGCTTCCTCGGGCGGTCTCGAGGCCCTCTGAAGCGCAGGTAATGCCAAGCCGATCAGCCGTAAGGCAAGAGCATTCAATACATTTTACTCCTCAGAGTCGGGTTACGGAGAGGCCCCGAACTGATTTGTGCAAGAGGACCGATGGTAACTCTCGAAGCTGTTGTTCGTTGCCTGGGAGGAGGTGATCCGTGCCTCCGTTTCTTCTAGAGAGAGTGGGTCTCGCGGCGGTTTGCTGCACCCCCCTCATGCGCAGATGTTCTCGGCGTGCAGCTGCTGTCAAGATATTTGGATGTCCTATCCTAGATGGGGCTCGCGCAGACACCCTCTGCTGGCTCACACTTTGTATCGGCCTCGCACTCGTGGGGGTCAGGTGCATGGAGGGGGGTGTCGGCAATGCCCAAGCTGATCAGTCGGCTAAATGGGGTGCCGCCATGCATAGAGATTCCCTCCAGCTGCGTTCTGCGCATGGCGCGTCACGCAGCGCCATCCGCCTAGTTGCTCAGTTCTGTACCAGGCTGGTCGCTCGGATCGGCACGATCACGCCACGGGACGCTCAAGCGCAAATACTCGGCCGTGCCATAGGCACGATTGAGGGGGGACTCGGTCCCCCGAAGCCGCACTCGCGCTTCGACCCTGCAGTGACGGTGGTTGCGCAAAGGTTCCGATGCATGGTGTGCCTTCGGTCAGCGAGGACACGCTCGGTGCTTCGCCAGCTTCGTTGTGACGACAGGACCAGCTCCCACGCACTTCACCGCGCGGGGCCCTTCCTGTTCTGCTCTCTGTGCGGGGCTTTTTCGGAAAAGAAGAGCCAGGGTCTTTCGCAGGATTGCTTGCCGATGAATCGTAGGCAGGGTGTCCTCGTGAGAGACTCGAGGTACTACAGGCTGCGCAACCTCATGCGAGGCTGCCATCCGCTTCGGTCCCGCGAGTTCGTGGGCCCTCCGATTTTGCTGCGGAAGCGCAGGCTGCTCGAGTCGGCCGAACTGCCGCCTCTGCCTGCTCTCTCTCCTTCGGTCGGGACTGGGAGTGGGGGGGTGGGGGTGGGGTGGACGGGGCAGGTGTGCTCGCCGCCGCCCGCTTTCCAGGCCGATCTGGCCTTGTGGGACGGCCTTGCTGGCTTTCCCATTGCCAGCGTAGAGGAGGACGACGGCGACCCATCCCACGGTGCGTGGGATCGGGTCGAATGCGTCCCCTGCGCTGGCTAGAGGTTTTTCAACGAAGGCTGGTTCGCTTGCGGTCAGTCTCTATCAGCAAAAAAACTGCAGGCCCGTTGCGGCCCTGCTAAGCGCGGCCTGCGGGAGGGGTGCCTCCGGGCCTTCTGGCCCTGGACGCACGCGGGGGCTGCTGTCCCTCTGGCCCGGGGCCTCCCGCGGGGGGTCAAGGCACCCTTGCATCCCCGTTCTGGCTGCCAAGGGCCTTTCATCGCCTCCCCCCCGTGCTCGCTGCGTCTTGACAGCCACCGGGCACTGGTCTGTGGCTGCAGAGTGGGCAACCCCCCCTCATCCTATGCTCTGTGCGAGCTGCTACCAAGACATGTGTACATTGCGGCTGTTGGCTGCACCCCCCTTCCACCACTTGTGGACAGATTCAGCCCCGGCTACGCCCTGCGCTCCATGGGCTGGTCGTGGCAGCTGTGGATCTCGGCGACGGCTGTGGCCGTTACCTGCGAGGCTGCAGTGTACCGGCTCTTGGGCCAGAGTGCGCTTCTCTCATCGTTGCAGCCCCTGCCAGTCACTGGTTTCGGATACGATGACCGTCACGCCGGTCCCCCCCCCAGAGACATGTGTACATTGCGGCTGTTGGCTGCGCCCCCCCACAGATCGCGAGGTTGCAGTGTGCCGGCTTGGATTCAGCCCTTGCTGCGTTCCAGCGCTCCATGAGCTGGTCGCGGCAGCTGCGAATCTCGGCGACAATCGTGACCGTTACCTGCGAGGTCGCAGTGTACCGGCCCTTGGGCCAGCGTGTCCTCTCTCATCGTTGCAGCCCTGGCCAGTCACTGGTTTCGGATACGATGCACGACACACCGACCCCCCCCCGGGCAGCTGTTTGGTCCGTGGAGTGAGTGCTCTGTAGGTAGCTGCCGTTCCTTTGCCCACTCTGTGGTCAGACTCAGCCCTGATTGCGCTCCAGCGCTCCATGAGCTGGTCGCGGCTGCAGCGTACCTCGCCGTCATTCGTGGCCGATATCCGCAAGGCGGCAGGGCACCGGCTCTTGGGCCTGCGTGTCCTCTCTCATCGTTGCTTCCCTGGCCTGTCACTGGTTTCGGAGACGATGACTGACGCACCGGCCCCCCCCCGGGCAGCGGTGTGGATCGTGGAGTGAGTGCTCTGTAGGTCCCTGCCGTTCCTTTGCCCCTGTCTCCGCCGCCCCCGCTTGCGGCGGTGGTGCGGACTTCTCGCTGAGTGGTTCAGCCTTCAGCGTTGTAGTTTCGGTTCTCCCTGCCCACTTTCGGCTAGGGGAGCTGCTCGGAGCTTGGCGCCGACAGGGCGACTTCCTCCGTTGCACTTGCACTGCTGTCTGCTCCACTTCGGTGTGTCCGGCGCCTATGTGCGTTTGCCTTAATGCGGAGCTTTTTGCTCAGTGCATGTGCGCTCCACGCATCGCGTGTAATTTGCCGTGTTCCGTTGCCCCGGGCCTCGCTGTTGCCGCCAGACCGTTGTCGCGCGGCCGCCGACCAAAAGAGTAGTCCCACCAGACTTGTCCCTCTCTTTTCTTGCTGCCTAGTCGCGGCCCGGCTAGTGGCCGGACGGCTTTCGACTTGCTTCGCGAGCCCGCAGACCAAAAAGTAGTACCACCGGAGTACCGCTTCAGATGGCAACCTGGCTAGACGGGCTCTCGCGCCGTGGCCCTCGGCCGCTGGATGCCACCCCTCGTTCGTGGGCCAGGATTCGCCCCGCGGTGCGCCTCTTGCGCGGTCATGGCCCCTTGCGGGCCAGGCGTTCCCTGGATGGAGGGCACCTCCCCCCGGCACCTGGCCCAACGTCCTATCGGCGGCTGTGCGACCACGTGGAAAGGGGCATGCGGCGCCGCGTGCCAGTTGCGATGGGTTGCTGGATCGGTGGTTGACACATGCAGACCCAACGATGCGGAGACGTTCGACGAGGCCGTTGAGTGACGCTGCTGCAGTGTAGTTACCCGCGAATTCATAGCCATTTTGGCTCGCTACCTGGCCTCGCCTGGTCCTCGCCGGCGACGACTTGCACCTCTGGACTTCGGTGTCCTCGCCGTTTGAGCTGCGGCGTTGCCCGCCGCCGCCGCTTTGTCTGCATGTCTGCCTTCCGCTAGTTAGCTGCGCATGTCCGGCTTTCTCTCACGTTTGCGGGGCTATGTTTAGCGTGTGCCCAGTTAGCTTTTGGACGTCTGGGCGTGGCCCGTGACGCGCTAAGCGTTTTGGCGGGGCCAGACCCAGGACCCAGCGTTTGTGGGAGGGCGAAGTCTATACACGCTGAGCGCTTGGTGTAGGGACGACGCCCGGACCGGTCATGATGCACGCTACGCGGTATCAGCGGCGGCGCCAACAGCCCTGGGGGAAGGAGGGGGGGGGGCCGAAGGGGGCGACGGCGTCGGGAAGCGCTGTGGCTGCTCGGCGGGCGACGACGGCTCCACGTACGTATGTGGCAGTCGGAGGAGAAACATATGTTTATCCCTTGAGCCACAGCTACGGAAAATCAACTCCACTAGCTGAACCTATTCGTGAAATGCTCGACCTCCGTCACACGGGTCAAACTTTTTTTCTAGGTTCCGCTCACCCTGTGGGATAAGCCGTAACCTCTTATATAAAATCGGAGACTAAATTGGTGTCAGTACGATGTGGCGCCGCACAAACCCCTCTGTCAGCGCATTCCCCGCAAGGTTGCATTTTTTTTTTTTGGAAAATGAGCAGGCTGGACAAAGACCCGGCCAGCCGGCCGGGGAGAGGAGAGAGGAGGAGAGGGAGGAGAGACCAGAACCACCGACCACGAGAACCTCTGGGTCCTGGTCCAGGTACTCGCTCCAGGACA